TAAAAAAAAATTATTTTTTGTGAATATTTTTGGGTGGAACGAATTAATTGGATTTACGTACATTATTTCTTATGGGAAATATTGCTTCGACTTTAGGCCGTTTCAACTTTAGGCCTAGCTCCTGGAATGGATTATTGCCGAAATTCGGGATTCCACTGTAATACAAACGTGTATGAATGAACATCAGATATGTTCGCCTGGTTTGTTTACGTTATGTGTGGGTGGGGTGGGGCAGGGAGGGCTGCCTTGGCTGGCTACCATACTTTCCCAAGCCTGACTTCCTACAAATAAAACTCACCTTTCACCCTACATTAAGATTACAAATATTTAAAGGAAATTAATGAATGTACTGTACACTGGAACTTCGGTTTTTGCGTGCTCCAGTTATTGAACGTTTCGGTTTTAGGACTGTTTTTTGTGCGAAATTTTGTTCTGGATGTCAGTCCTTGATCCGGTAATCAGACATATTATATGCATCCACCTGGGCCGCTCATACATTCGTGACTCACTCTTGGGCACATTAAATGTCTTATTTTACATTAATATGGACATTTTCATTAATCCATCTATGATATTTTCTTCAAAATTATATAAGAAACACATTACATAGCATAGTATAAACATGCAATGTTTATATGCTATCGAGTGGTGAGTCATTGGAGGGAAAACATAACGTTTTCTCTTTTTCTCTGGTCGAGCATTAGAGAAAACTGTATGAATCTGCGTCTGGCTTTTATTTACAGTTCTCTGCATGAATTATTCATTATTTCACTCTGTTTATGATGGCTTCCAAAGGTAGTTGTTAGAAATGATTAAACTCTGTGAACAAGGTACGTATGTTGATGGTTATAATATGGCTCTGGGCCGCATTAAATATCGTGTAGCTATGTAACCCAGGCTACCTACTGGCTGCCTACTTCTACCAGCTATCTACCTCTACTGGCTACCTACATCTACCAGCTACTTAGTAAGTAAGTTTATTCAGGTATTCACAAATACAGTAACATAGATTATCATTCATAGCAGCATATGTGTAGAGAACCTGGATAACCCAAAAAGTCAGACACAGTGACTTCCTACAAAAAAGTACCACTCACCTCTCGCCCCACATTAAGACTACAAGTATTTTAAGGTAAATAATGAATGCGGAAGAGTTGGTGGACGACCACAGGGAAGAGCTAACCACTGAAGAGCTGCAACACTATAGTTAATCTTTAAAAAAAACATTTTTTGTTAATATTTTTGGGTGTCTGAAACGGATTAATTGTATTTACATTATTTCTTATGGGTAATATTGATTCAGTTTTCACATGTTTCGGAATGCTTCTGGAATGGATTAACTTCGAAAACCAGGGCGCTTTAATTAAATGTCGTAGTACGTGTGGGTGGGGTGGGGTGGGCTGACCTGGCTGGCTACCATACCTCCCAAACCTGACTTCTTACAAATAAAACTCACCTCTCACCCTACATTAAGGCTACAAATATTTTAAGTAATGGGTGTACCGTGTGTGTATTATGCTTTTATTGTTTTTAATGCCTAGTTCTATTGCTAACTTAATACAGTGGACCCTCAACCAATGGCTTTAATCCACTCCAGAGAGCTAGCCTTTAGTGAAATTTGCCGTTAATCGAATTAATTTTCCCCATAAAAAATAATGGAAATAGAATTAATCCCTTCCAGAAACCCGAAAGTATTAAACAAAATATTTTTTTTTTACATGAAATGTACATTTCCCTACACAAAAATGAATGGGACATGCAAAATAAACAATAATTAAATGCCACTTCCTTTATTGTGGAGTTGTTGATTAGTGATGTGCCAACAGCAGGGGAGACTGAGGTCTTTTATTGTTTGGAAGGGGAATCCTCTTCCACGAAGACTTCAGGTACGTGTACTAAGTCCTTTGGTGGGGTTGCCTCCCTTCTTGGTTTTTTAATGCCACTAGGACCAGCTTGAGAGTCGCTGGACTTCTGTCCCACCAAAAATCTGTCCAAGGAGCTCTGTTTCTCACGTGCCCTTAAGATTTTCCTAAAATGGGACACAAGAGTGTCATTGTACATGTTGCCAATATGGCTTGCAACAGCTGTGACAGGATAAAATTCATCGATAAATGCTTGCACCTTTGTAAACGTACACATTTCCCTAATCCTTGACAAAGGAATCTTCCTCCGTCTCTCTTCCTCCTGCTCTGAAGAACATTCCTGAGATGTGATCTGTTGCTGTTGCACCTCAAGCTCTTGCAGGTGTGCAGTGGTTAGTTCTTCCTTGTCGTTCTGCACCAACTCTTCCACATCCTCACCACAAACCTCCAACCCCAAGGACTTCCCCAATGACACAATAGCTTCCACTACTGGCATAGACTCCTGAGGATTAGCCCTAAACCCTTCAAAACCCCTCTCTTACACACATTGTGGCCACACTTTCCTCCAAGCAGAGTTCAAAGTCCTGGTAGTCAGTCCCTCCCAAGCCTTACCTGTAAGGTTTATGCAACTGAGGATATTGAAGTGATCTTTCCAAAACTCTCTTAGGGTCAATTGAGTGTCTGAGGTCACTTCAAAGCACTTTTGAAACACTGCTTTGGTGTAGAGTTTTTTGAAGTTTGAAATAACCTGTTGGTCCATGAACTGGAGGAGAGGAGTTGTATTAGGAGGCAAAAACTTCACTTTAACGAAGCTAAACTCCCCTGCAATTTGCTCTTGCAACTTGTGAGGATGAGGAGGAGCATTGTCCAGTACCAGGAGGAACTTGAGTGACAGTTTCTTTTCCTGGAGGTAATTTTTCACTATGGGGCCAAACACCATAAAACCAGTCCATGAAAAGTTCCCTAGTGACCCATGCCTTAGTGTTTGATCTCCACAGCACACACAAGTTAACCTTGACAATATTGTTTTTCCTGAACACACTGGGAGTTTTAGTGATACACCAATAAAGGCTTCACTTTGCAATCACCACTAGCATTACTACACAACATTAATGTCAGCCTGTCTTTCATAGGCTTATGTCCTGGGAGTGCCTTTTCCTCCTGAGTAATGTAGGTCCTGTTTGGCATTTTCTTCCAAAATAGACCTGTTTTGTCACAATTAAACACTTGTTCAGGTTTTAAGTTTTCAGTGTCTATGTATTCCTTAAAGTCCTTCAAATATTTTTCAGCCACTTTTTTGTCTGAACTGGCAGCCTCACCATGCCTTACCACACTGTGTATGCCACTACGATTTTTAAAACTCTCAAACCAGCCTTTGCTGGTCTTAAATTCATCAATATCATCACTATTTTGAGGCATTTTCTTATTGAGATCATCATGCAACTTCCTTGCCTTTTCACATATTACTGACTGAGACACACTGTCTCCTGATAATTGTTTTTCATTTATCCATACCAACAACAGTCTCTCTACCTCTTCAGTTATTTGCAGTCTCTGTTTTGAAAACATACTTGCACCTTTCGCAACAACAGCTTCCTTGATTGCCTTTCTGTTCACCAAGGTAGTACTGATGGTTGAATGGGGTTTCTTGTATAGCCTTTCCAACTCGGACATACGCACACCACTTTCGTATTTTTCAATGATCTCTTTCTTCATTTCCATCATAATTCTCACCCTTTTTCCAAAGGCTTGGCACAAGAAGCTTTCTTGGGGCCCATGGTGGCTTATTTAGTGGTTACAAGTACTAAAAACACTGGAATAATACAAAATATATCACAGGAATCGACCACAATGGCTTGTAAACAATGGCACACTGAGTCTTGGAGTGGCTGGGCCCGCTCAGGCCGCGCTCTGACCTCATGATGAGCTTTTTGCCGTTGGTAGAGCCATTTTTATTTTACACCAAAGAGCGCTGTTAGACGAATTTAGCGTTACTTGATGCTGCCGTTGGCCGAGGGGTCCACTGTACATGTTAGTGTAAACTTGTTATCTGGCATTTTCTTCTTTCTTTCAACAAACCGGCCGTATCCCACCGAGGCAGGGTGGCCCTAAAAGAAAAACAAAAGTATCTCTTTTTAAATTTAGTAATTTATACAGGAGAAGGGGTTACTAGCCCCTAGCTCCCGGCATTTTAGTTGCCTCTTACAACACGCATGGCTTAAGAACATAAGAACATAAGAATGGAGGAACACTGCAGAAGGGCTACTGGCCCATGCGAGGCAGGTCCTTATACTGGCCCATGCGAGGCAGGTCCTTATGGCCCATGCGAGGCAGGTCCTTCCTCCTTACGGAGGAAGAATTCTGTTCCACTTCCCCATGGAGATAAGAGGAAATAAACAAGAATAAGAACTAGAAAGAAAATAGAAGAAAACCCAAAGGGGTGTGTATATACAGTGGACCCCCGGTTAACGAACTTTTTTCATTCCAGTAGTATGTTCAGGTGCCAGTACTGACCGAATTTTTTCCCATAAGGAATATTGTGAAGTAGATTAGTCCATTTCAGACCCCCAAACATACACGTACAAACGCACTTACATAAATACACTTACATAATTGGTCGCATTTGGAGGTGATCGTTAAGCGGGGGTCCACTGTATATGCTTGTACATGTATGTGTAGTGTGACCTAAGTGTCAGTAGAAGTAGCAAGACGTACCTGAAATCTTGCATGTTCATGAGACAGAAAAAAGGAACACCAGCAATCCTACCATCATGTAAAACAATTACAGGCTTTCGTTTTACACTCACTTGGCAGGACGGCAGTACCTCCCTGGGCGGTTGCTGTCTACCAACCTACTACCTAGGTATCTGGCATTTATATGCATTTATAAGTGGAAAAAATGACGTTCTGCTGTCCAACGATGTCTGCTTTCCAGCAGTAGCCTGGAATCTAACCTGCAATATAAGTGGGGCCCTACTGTACTTGCAGGATTCTAGCTGTACTTTGGAAGAGTCAGTCTGTGTAACTGGACATCACTAAGAGCCCAGCTAGAATCTTCCAAATACAATTCTCTAGCTTTAAATTTTATATCTAGGTTTACTATAACAAAATTTGATTAGTATCTACTGTTTATTCCAGGCCCCTGCTGCATTTGGACTTGTCACCTTCTTGATGCATGAGGGTCTGGATAGAAATAAAATTCGGCGCCATCTCATGATTTTTGCCCTCGCTGCTCCAGTTGGTGCTGTGATTACATACTCTACTATTGTCCAGGTAAAGGAAAAATATTTACTGTTTGTGTTATGATTTGAAGACTTTCTTACAGTAGGACTGAAAATTTGTTTTATACATGTGTACCATTTTAAAGAATATGTAAATATTTTTATTAAGCACATTAAGCATTTTATCAAATTGAAGTACAGTAGAGATAAGGGTCTTGTTAGTATTTTTCGATGATGCATTGCCTTTTTTTTTCAGAGTGGCACAGAGAGTTTATCCTCATCTCATAGTACAGGTGTTGCAATGCTCTTTAGTGCTGGCACCTTCCTTTATGTATCCACTGTTCATGTGCTGCCAGAACTGACGAGCCACAGCCACGATGGAGGAGGCAACGGACAGTTCTCCCACAAGCAATTATTTGCCCTTGTTTGTGGTTCTCTCTTACCACTTCTTCTTACATTTGGGCATCATCATTAGTTAAAAATGATGGATAAATATTAGGTTGTGGCTGCTGCCATATCATACAGTAATGTTGTGTTTAGCAATTATCAGCTAAACTATCTTTCTTGTGATAAAATACAGTTGTTTTGATATATTTTCCATTTGGAAATGTAGCATCGGGCATTTTTTAATGCTGTTTATGTACAGCCAAAATACCTAGGAATGTAAATGTCTCTGCTATTTACTTGCTGGGTCTGAGTGACCTATAGTTTCAAATTATTTTTGATCTCTCTAAGGTTTCATTTCTCTGGGAAATCTGTTTACTTACTGTCCAAGCACTGGTTTAGTGTAAGTTCACTGATAAGCATCTGGTGTAGTCAGTGTAGACTTTAATGCAAGTCTTTTTATGCAGTTCCTCTTTGAATAAAATTGTGGTTACCCAAACCTTTTTTTAATTATTGTATATTAGTAATTCTTACAATACATGAAGCCATGCATTTATCAAGTTGTTATAGTTTCTTGCTATGGGTAATCATAAATTTAATTCATTAGGTCTTAGTCAGTAGAAGTATCGACGCAGATCATAGTTGTGCATAAATTACCAAGCCAGTCTGTGTATTGTGGTTGTGCAGAGGTTAGCCATTATATATGCAGTTTAATTGTATAATACATATATACTTAAATTATAAATTTGTGTTCTTCAAAATCATATATAATTTAAATTTGTTGTCTATATGTACTTTCTGTATGTTTGTATGCATTGCTCTTCTTGGGATTTTTATGCATCTTATTTATTTTATAAGTTGTATGTATGAAGATCACTGTCTTAGCTTCTGGCATCATTAGATAATCTTTGACTTGAAGAATTAAGTCCAGTTAAATAAAACCTCTTATTGTTTTCAAGACTGGCTCTGTGATTTTGACATCTGATTATCTTCACGATGTAATCGATATTGTTTTGGATTATGTTTTTATGCAGAATGTGATACACTGTTCACAACTATCCCACAATTTAAAAGAGAATCTTTAGACGACATTTTGGTTTGCTTTGGACCATTATTGATATGCATGTTAGTTGTGAATGGTTCCATTAATGGTATTGTGACTTGTTTTTCTATATGATAATTTATACAACATTATTCTTAGAAATCATCATTAGGAATTTTAATCTTATGAGGATGGATGTTGTATTATGTTAGTCTAGTATAAATTATATGCTTTTATAATAGTCTCTCCTTACTTAACGACGTACTTGTTCAACGACCGTTTGGACTTATGACCAACTCTCTGACCAGTGTGCGCACCTAAGTAATGTATATCAGAGCTGATTTCCTCCAATCTGTTTATTACAATATACAGTACTCTACTGTATAAACATTTAAAAATGTACTATAAATGTTATAAATGGTGCAAAGGTGACATTAAAACAATATCAAAGATGGGTGACACAAACCCACTACCAATATAGTATGCTCCTTGCTCAATGACCAGTTCGTTTACTGACCTACTCTTAGGAATGAAACTCCGTTGTTAAGTGAGGAGAGGCTATAATGAGTTTGTCATAATTTTTTGTAGTTTTATATTGTGTCTACTTTGTCTGCTGCTCTTTCAAACAACACACTCATATTTGTAAATGTGTTTCTGTACATTGTATGCCTTCTTATGTTATACAACAGGTTAATTAGGCAAAATCTCTCTATGCACAATGAAAGTGGCACATTTCTGGAGGCTGCCGTCAGTACTTCCTCCTCACAAGTGTGCATACACCAACCTGCTGCTCATTTGATTCATCTTCATGCCTTTCTGACTGATTATATTTTGTATTGGCTTTTCATTCATATGCTCCACTCTAGCTCAGTTTGCTTTGCATTATCTGCTATTTAGCAATGTTCCCATTCTCAGCAAATTTTAGGGGTCCTCACATCCATTTTTTTTTTATGGACCAATACATGACTAATCTACAGCAATGTGAGTGGTAATGTTTCTTTAATACAAATCTTGCTTCATGGTTAGCTAATTTGTGTTACTCTTTATAAGCTGGCTTTTTGCAGTTCCACTTGATATTTTAAATCTTACTGTTTTCATATCCTTTTTCTCTATTCAAACACGCTCATTTTTTAATGAAATATGTTCTTGTATACAGTTAAGTACAATACTGTACTTATAATTATTTTGTGATTTTTTTTAGATTATACCTTGTTTTGTTTCAAATATTATTTGTGACATTATATAATTCATGTATTGTCTGATTTTAAACTTTCACTTACTCCCATCCAATATTTTGTGATTAACCAAACCATTACAACTGCCCCAAGGGTGCTTGTACAAGCGCACCATAACCAGATGATGCAACCTGCCTTACTGCAGCTTCAGTATCACTGTCATGCAGTTGTTCTTCTCTTGTAAGTGCACTCTACTATCTAATGAGCCACTCGTTTTCTTAACTTTTTGTACATCATAGTTCAAATACCTTTCTTGTCAATACTTTATAAACACTTTTTTATATTTTCCATAATTGTTTCCATTAACCTTATCAGGTTCCTAATCTTAGCTACACAGTTTTTTACTGCATTTCTGAATTTGTTGGTTTTATATTGGCATATGTTGGCTATTACCAGTAACTTACTTGAAAAGTTGTTATAAGATTAATAGTCCACATCATAATGTGATGTTGACTATTACTTTTTGTACTTGTAAATAAATATGGAATCATTATTTTGTAAACATTCATTAATGTAGATAAGAGCATTACACAACTACATTCTTTCTTTCTTTCTTTAGTTTAAGTTTAATACCTTTATTATTATCCCTATACCCATCTTGTGGGCAGTAGTCAAAATAACAGTTTTACACATAAATAATAGCCCACAGAGAGAGGCTGTTCTGTATCACTTTAAATAGTGTTTTATCCTCATGAATTTTGACATTCATGAGAAAGAATATGTAAAGATGGGAGATCCGATTAGCATTTTTAGTGAAATTATAAGGTTGGTTTTCTGTTGTATAGATTTTCTATAATATGGACTCCCAAGCACATCTTGGTTCAAATTCAAGAGCTTACTTTAATAACATTTTTTCCATTTTATAGTAGTCATTTTATGGAGAATTATGTTATGTTAAAAAATTCAAGTATCAAACTCAACAGTGTTGATATAAATGATATTTTAGGTGTTTAAATGATCAGCATTTGTTACTTAACCCTTTCACTGTCAGGACCCTGAAAATTAAACGTTGGGATTTTAAAAAAATAATAATATTTCTTCTCAGATGGTAGAGAAGCTAATAACACCAAAAAAAGTACAAAATATGATGGAAAACTTATGGAATTAGGTAGGCACATAGCTGGTGGTCTAGGCGCATTTTACACAGCAGCGATTTCACACACTTTGAGTCTTATTTTAAATAAATTCCATTGCTCAATTCAACCAGATGCTTAGCTAATTCACAAATTTTCCTTCTGTTCTATTGAATGAGCACAAGAAACTATCAGAACTACCCATAAAAAGTTCACACAAGTTGGTAATTTGGCCAACCTTACACAAAATTCAACAGAATACAATTTAAAAACAGAATCCAAAATAAACACTGAATGCATTCCAGCAACTAAAGCAGCCTTTCCTCAGTTCATTAATGACATCCTCAGGCCTCTCCTATTGTACACTTGCCCTCCATTTTGAATCCATCATCACACAAAAAAAAAATCAAAGTACTCCTTATTTCTTGGATTATAAAATATAACCAGGAATGTTTGGTCATGGTGTAGGGCATCTCAGTAATTGAAGCAGACCTAGTGAATACCCATAAAACAGACTAGGGGTGGTGGAGGGTTCTTTACCCTTCCTCAAAAAACTTGAAAATTTTAATATTTCTGTTACTTTGAACCCTATTTCAAGCTAATTCTGGTCCTGAAACCAGTTAAAATCATCTGTTTCATTCTATCAATTGATACCAAGAAATAGCAAATAAAACCATAAAAACCACCCTAGAAAATGCCTCGGTCACTATTTTAAACCAAACCCAAGAACCTATTGTGCTCCGTGTTTGGCAGTATTTTTTTTTATACTGGGCACACTCACCACACAGACCCATTTTCTCATGTCTAAGCCAAAATTTACCACTCACACTACATAAATTGTAGGTCTAGGTGAGAGAGACTGGCATCATTAACATAGATATACATAAGAGACAACGAAAGGGTTAAAGAATTGTTGTGTATGAGAGTTGTCAAAGATATGTTTCAATGTTTGCACTGACAAAACCAGTAGCAACAGTTAGTAGTAAGGTACCTTTTAGACAAAAAATCACTTATTTCATTGGGTGACATTGGAGAAAATCATTTACTTTAACATAAGTTGTCTGTGGCATGTGTTTTCTTCCCTGATAGGGTTGGGTGCTGCTGCTGCTGAAGGGAGAAAATTCCCTTTAGAATATAGCTTAACAATGTCATTATGTGTGACTGAAAGTTCATATTGGGCATTAAAATGTCAGGATCTAAACTATAGCACAAGTAATTAAGTAGTAGTTTCAACTAGTGCAAGAGCTGATGAGTTTGTTAAAGTAGGAGCACAAATTAGTTATGAATGAGCAAATAAATTATTGTGTGGGCAAAATAGAACGCGAATTTATTTTCTCATTCTTAGGCTCTCCTGATTTTTTTTGTAAATGATGTTTTTAATACATACTGTTTTCCATCAAGGTAGTGTGACCCAAAGATGGAAAACACATTCACAGTCACATTCCCCTAGCTAGAAAGATAGCTAGGAAAAAACAATAGTGAATATGTTTTCCTTATTTGAGTTACAATACCTGTATGGAAAATGGCCAATGTGTTAAATTTATATATTTGTTCTTGAACTCAGATTAAGTTGTAATAAACAACTGTCTATGAATAAATGAAAAGATGGTCGGGGAGCACAAACCGCTGTTTGTAAATTGACAGTCTGACGTTCAACCAGCTTCACCACCGGGCTTAAAGAGGAAAGAATCAGAACTAGTGCTTACTGTATTATAATTCATCAGAGGACCCATTTGTAACCCAGCTGTCAATTTACAGACAGTGGTTTGTGCCTCAACTCCATCTTTCTATTTATTCATAAATGTTTTTATTTATGGAATTGTTGTATGCAAGTCAACTTTTTCATAATCATTATCCATAAAACAAATTCTGTGATATATATTTAAGTATTCATATACCAGAAAATATATCACTTATAAAATAATTAACATTTTTTGTAGTAATTTTATAGTATTCCAGTGAGGAAGCTAGAGGCTGGATAGCTACAAAAAGAAAAAAAAAGGCGCATAAATTTAACACTCATTGTAATATATTAATTTCCTCAACTAGATTTTTAGCACTAAATTATCCCTGGATTTATCTGCATTTCCTTCATTACATGCCACTGTTGTGTTTCCCCCCCCCCCACACGCACACGCGCGTAATCACACCTGCACGCACACACGCTCAAGCCCTTTCCCCAACACATATGCTCAAACCTTCATGCCAGCAAACCCAGACACACACATGCACCCTGACACACACACACACACACACACACATGCTCACACCCTGATACACTTGTTTGCACCCTGACACACACTTGCTCACTCCCTGACAAACACATTCTCATACCCTAACACATGCTTATACCTTAACACATGTCCATACCCTGACACACACATGCACACAACCTAACACATGCTCATACCCTCACACACATGCTCACACACATACACATGCTCATACCATGACACACATGCTCACACCCTGACACACATGCTCATACCTTGACTTGCACATGTTCATACCCTGCACATACATGCTCATACCCTGACACACACATGCTCACACCCTGACACCCACATGCTCACACCCTGACACACCTGCACACAAACACTCCTATAGATGAATGGTTCAGAGAACCAACAAGTTGATAAATTAGACACATGTGCAACACTTGGGTATCTTTATTGAGCAAACGTTTTGCCACACATTGGCTTCATCAGTCCATACAAAGGAGAACATTGAAGAACAGGAGGAGTTTGAGGTAATCAGTCCCTCAGCATTAAGTCGATCTGATCAGTCCATCAATCATGCGTAGAAGTAGCTTATATATCGTAGGTAGGAGAGGTGCAGCAGTCGTAGGTGGCATCACATCTGTCCAATGTGGAAGTATGTTATACCCTCAATAAAGATACCCAAGTGTTACACATGTCTAATTTATTAACATACACACCGACACACCAACACACACACACACACACACACACACACACACACACACACACACACACACACACACACACACACACACACACACACACACACACACACACACACACCAACACACACACCATCACACACACACACCAACACACACACCAACACACCAACACACACACACACACACACACACACACACACACACACACACACACACACACACACACACACACACACACACACACACACACACACACACCAGCACACACCAACACACACCAACACACACATCAACACACACACACACACACACACACACCAACACACACACACCAAACACACACACACACACACACACACACACACACACACACACACACACACACACACACACACACACACAAACCTCAGAACAGCATTCTGACATCTTAATAAGGAATCGTTCAGGACCCTGTACACCATGTACGTTAGGTCCATATTGGAGTATGCAGCACCAGTTTGGAACCCACACCTAGCCAAGCACGTAAAGAAACTAGAGAAAGTGCAAAGGTTTGCAACAAGACTAGTCCCAGAGCTAAGAGGTATGTCCTACGAGGAGAGGTTAAGGGAAATCTACCTGACGACACTGGAGGACAGGAGAGAGAGGGGGGACATGATAACGACATACAAAATACTGAGAGGAATTGACAAGGTGGACAAAGACAGGATGTTCCAGAGATTGGACACAGTAACAAGGGGACACAGTTGGAAGCTGAAAACACAGATGAATCACAGGGATGTTAGGAAGTATTTCTTCAGCCACAGAGTATCAGTAAGTGGACTAGTTTGGGAAGCGATGTAAGCAGGCAGGATCCATACATAGCTTAAGCAGAGGTATGATAAAGCTCATGGTCAGGAGAGTGACCTAGTAGCGACCAGTGAAGAGGCGGGGCCAGGAGCTTGGACTCGACCCCTGCAACCTCAACTAGGTGAGTACAACACACACGACCAGTGAAGAGGCGGGGCCAGGAGCTCGGACTCGACCCCTGCAACCTCGACTAGGTGAGTACACACACACACACACAACCAACACTACACACACACACACACACACACACACACACCAACACTACAACACACAACACACACACACACACACACACAAAGCAACAGCCTGTACAACACATTGCACACACACACATAACTAACACACACACACACACACACCAACACCACACACACACACACACACAACACACACACCACCTACACACACATACACACACAACACACACAACACACACACACACACACACACCACACACACACACACCACACACACTACACACACAACACACCTACACACACACATACACACCTACAACACACACCTACATACACACACCTACATACACACACCTACATACACACACCTACATACACACACCTACATACACACACCTACATACACACACTACATACACACACCTACATACACACACTTACATACACACACCTACATACTCACACCTACATACACACACCTACATACACCTACATACACACACATCTACATACACACACACCTACATACACACACACCTACACACACACACACCTACACACACACACTACACACACACACACCTACACACACACACACCTACACACACACACACACACACACACACACACACACACACACACACACACACACACACACACACACACACACACACACACACACACACACCTGGTCAAGCACGTCAATAAGCTAGAGAACGTACAAAGGTTTGCAACAAGGCTAGTCCCTGAGCTCAAGGGAATGTCGTACGAGGAAAGGTTGAGGGAAATCGGACTGACGACACTAGAGGACAGAAGGGTCAGGGGAGACATGATAACGACATACAAGATACTGCGGGGAATAGACAAGGTGGACAGAGATAGGATGTTCCAGAGAGGGGTCACAGAAACAAGGGGTCACAGCTGGACGCTGAAGACTCAGACAAGTCACAGGGACTTTAGGAAGTATTTCTTCAGTCGTAGAGTCGTCAGGAAGTGGAATAGCCTAGCAAGTGAAGTAGTGGAGGCAGGAACCATACATAGTTTTAAGAAGAGGTATGACAAAGCTCAGGAAGCAGAGAGGGAGAGGACCTAGTAGCGATCAGTGAAGAGGCGGGGCCAGGAGCTGAGTCTCGACCCCTGCAACCACAATTAGGTGAGTACACACACATACACGCTCACGCTCGCGCGCACACACACACACACACACGACCAGTGAAGAGGCGGGGCCAGGAGCTCGGACTCGACCCTTGCAACCTCGATTAGGTGAGTACACACACACCAACACGTACACACACACACACATACACACACACACACACACACACACGCAAATACAACAGGCCTGGTGTCTAATCGACATGTGCCTAAGACAAAATGGTAACTAACACACACAACAGGCCTAGTGTCTAATCGACATGTGCCTAAGACAAAATGGTAACTAACTAACACACACATTTCAAAGATTTCGAAGAGACCTGGACAGGCTGGACACTTGGTCCAGCAACTGGCTTCTCGAATTTAACCCCGCCAAATGCAGAGTCATGAAGATCGGGGAAGGGCAAGGAAGACCCCAGACGGAGTATGAGCTTGGCCAAAGACGGCAAACCTCGCTCAAGGAGAAAGATCTTTGGGTGAGTATAACACCGAGCACGTCTCCGGAAGCACACAACCAGATGACTGCTGCAGCATATGGGCGCCTAGCAAACTTGAGAATAGCGTTCCGTTACCTTAGTGAGGAAACGTTCAAGACGCTGTACACCCTGTACGTCAGGCCCATATTGGAGTATGCAGCACCTGTTTGGAACCCACTCTTGATCAAGCACGTCAAGAAATTAAAGAAAGTGCAAAGGTTTGCGACAAGGTTAAGGGAAATCGGCCTGACGACACTGGAGGACAGGAGGGTCAAGGGAGACATGATAACGACAGACAAAATAATGCGTGGAATAGACAAGGTGGACAGAGACAGGATGTTCCAGAGAGGGGACACAGAAACAAGGGGTCACAATTGGAAGCTGAAGACCCAGATGAGTCAAAGGAATGTTAGGAAGTATTTCATCAGTCATAGAGTAGTCAGGAAGTGGAATAGCCTAGCAAGTGAGGTAGTGGAGGCAGGCACCATACATAGTTTTAAGATGAGGTATGATAAAGCTCATGGAGCAGGGAGAGAGAGGACCTAGTAGCACTCAGTGAAGAGGCGGGGCCAGGAGCTGAGTCTCGACCCCTGCAACCACAATTAGGTGAGTACACACACACACAAGGTAAGTAAGAAACAACAGTCTCCTTCCCTACACCTCTGTGTTGTTCATATTGTTTCACAAGTCTCCCAGGGTTAGTATTCCACGTCTCGGACCTTCCTTCATCCACTACTTAAGTATTATTTTGAATTATTATTTCTCTTCTTTTTATTTTTTTTTATGTCCCATTTCAATTTTAATGTTATATTTATTTTCTTATTTCTGTTACCTGTGGAAATTGTTAGCTCGCGATGTTAAGTTTATTAAGTTTTCTTAATCTACCACAAAATCTTACCTGAAAGTTCTGAAATATTGCAATCTTTAAACTCTGTTGCTTTTATTTTTAATTAAGTTTGAATAAAGTCTGTCTGATAAAAACATTTGTCTGATTTTAGCATCTTATAATCTCCCAGAGACAAAATTATCTTTAGCTTTGATGTGGCCACTGGAAGTAGCCTCTGTTATCTCTTATTTATTTTTTAGACTGCAGTAAGCAGTCTTTGTGGTGAGGATAGACTGACCTGCAGCAAGCAGTCTTTGTGGTGAGAAGTAGACTAACCTGCAGCAAGCAGTCTTTATGGTGAGAAGTAGACTGACCTGCAGCAAGCAGTCT